AAGCCGGGGTGGCCGGAAGCTTCGCAATACTTCCAAAGTCTACTACTTTGCTATATTTCATACTTGAGTGACTTCGTTAATAGGGCCGTAGTACAGGTGACGAATTTCTTACACGGTTCATGTTTTCTCAACGCAACACCTGCTCTGACGTTGATTCAGAGCGGTACGCTTGGCTGCCACACACTGGACACTCTGAAATTGACGTCGAGGTTCGTGTTTTTCTTTTCGCGTCGTGGGCCTCCGAAGGCCTTCTTCCGTCCCATTATTACCGTGTAGGGGCGTGGTCGACGAGCAGGCAGCGGTCAGGTTTCGCCTCCACCTTCCTCCTCCCCTGTGAGGGAGGACGCCTCTCCGCTCATCCGATGCTAATGTCGGAATTGCCTAAACGTTTTGCTCTTCATTTCCCGATATATGATAAACACTTAAACGAGCCTAATTTTGGTCTAAATCAGCATCTGATTTTGTATTTTCTCATGTCGTTCGACTATTTCCACTCATGCCATTTCTAATTAAGATCATTTGTTCTTATTTCCTTGAGACTCCTTTTCGGAAGAACGTAGAGCTTCAAATTGGACTCCTCATCAGGATTCATGATACCGTATCAATGCCTTATCCAACTATCATGATCATCTTCACATCCGTCAACAGAATGCGACATAATCAGTTGACTGAGAGCAAATTGTCCTACCGAATGAGCACTTAGTCAATTCTTGAAATATAATTAGACTCCTCTTCAACTTCTTGAGAACTTAGCCATAGAAAACAAATTCGCATTTCGGATAACTGAGCTTTCCATATGTGGGAAGTAACTCAATACTTTATGCTCAACTTCGATTTGAACCGCTAGCATGGCTTACTCTGCCGACCTCACCATAGTTAGCAAGTAAGTTGTTAAAGACAAAACTCGCGATAGAAATTGTGGGGGAAGAGAAAAAAGGGTTGTAGGGAAGGCAGAGGAGGGTCCAAGTAGACGATATGTGGCGCTTCCACTGCAGAAACCGCCCTATCAGCAAAATTATAACGTGCAAAAAGAGGTCCAGCGGAATCCAGACTTACCGTACCTGGACGTGTTGCGTGATTTTCGTCTCAGGAATGCTTTTCATATCAAAGCGTCTCTTGTAATAGAAGCAATTTCGGCTTTCGCTTTCGGGTACGGATGGTTTTCCTCCTCCGTACGAGTACACAGTATCATACTAATAGCATTTAGTAACTACTAGGGGACTCATCTGGTAAGGGGGGAATGTGCTGCGCCAATTAATATCGCATGAAATAGTCACTTTTTAGCAGGGGAGCGGAGCTCCGGGGTGGGTGTAAGAAATGATTCACGCACCCCTTGCAAAAATTGGACTTTCTGTAGCCGGCAAGAACTGTCGCACCACATGCTCTCCTTACTGGATGAGACCCACTACTAGTAGCATGACTACAAAATGCCAGTTGTTACAACGGCCGTGGGAACTCGTCCAAATTTGCAATCAGCTGGAAAAAGAGGCTGCCATTAAACGAGGTTTTGATCATATTTCTTGTTTTTGCACACCATTTGGTTCCTGTGCAATCAGATTTGAACGGCTTAGCTTACTGCATGTTTTGCCTTCAGTGTGACGCTGGGGCTAGCGGTATTTATATTCCACCACGCAAAGCTGTCTTATGAATTCGAAGCAGTGTAGTGAACCGCTGCTGGTCAACCGCTATGTCCCAAGCCACAGGTTGGCTTTCCCAATCCTGGTCCGGGTTTAAATCCCGGTCCGGGTTTAGTTTCTGTTTGTGAAAATTGTCCGTCTCTGAGATAATTTGAAAAGGCTGTGAAGCACTCTTTGGTAGAATGATTGTTCCCTGTACCCATGCGGCTCCGCTCCAGAAACACCTAGCAGTGGACGCCCTCGAATTAATGAAAGACCTTGAACGGAGTCGAGTAAGCAAAGGCGCTGGTCGTCACCGGACGAGGGCTAACTATAAGATTATTTTAGTAGCAGCTGAGCTTGTTTTTTTTATTTCAGCAACAGTTTCTTTGAAAACTTCATTTTCAAGTGCGGTTCAGTATCTCCTTTGTAAGCGTTTTTCTAGGTTCTACAGACGGATTTATTGTTCTCCTTGGCTTCATATACTGTTGTTACGAAATTGTTCGTAGGTAAGTTTGCGGAATTGGTCGCTTTCTTGTGCTCTGAACTATTGAATGTTAACGATTAAAGGGCAAGGATTTCGTTTCTTTGGCACATCAAATACTGCTTACTTAATCCTAGTCCTCGCATATAGCGACAGTAAACATTGGGACACTTTATGATGCTATGAGAAAGGCGAATCTTGGCTCTTGTACGTGCTTAATACTCACTTTCGAGTGAGAGGGTTCTTTTTGTGCCAGACGTATTCGCCTCACTTTTAATCGATTCCTTGACTAAACTCAAACAGAGTAGCATACGGGCGGTTGTTTTTGTTCTCAAGTATTACGTCGACATCCACTTTTGTCCATTCGCTTTATGAGGTGAACAAATACCAAGTTGCCGACCAATTCGAGTCGTCTTACAATGAGCACTAGAGAGTGCGGAAAGGAGTACTGCTTCGAATCAAGTTAGTGAGTGTCTCTAGGGCCTTACTGGTGAGGCAATCCACTGCCATTCAGCTAAACGTTGAGGCGCGAAAGTTTTCCTCTTCCCACTGGCTCACTATGCGTTGCTGGGGGCTGTATCTTCGTGAGAAATTCCAAGGATGCCCTGTCAAGACTGTGTTCGCAACTAATGGGATAGAGCAGATTTTTTTCAGGCATTGCACCATATACACTTAAACGACCAAAAAAATGAACTCAGCCGTGTGAGCGGGGTGGAAGGTGTTCACTTTTCCGATATGTTGATATCGTTGTTCATCTCAATTATAGCTGGGATTAATTGCGTGCAGTGATAAGCGGAGAATTATGAACGAGGCGGTCAATGAGAGTTTTTCGCTGTTTTCGTTCACTGCGCGCTTCCCTGGTCATACCAGATGTAAACCACGAGGGCTAGGGCGTGACATCATATTTGACATGGCAATGGGAGTGCTCTGTGGTTCCAAGCTGATCTCGAAAGGACATTACCAGTCACACCCCAAGTTCAGAATCACTTGTCGATTAATTGCCCGATCCGGCTCCCGGTCCATGTCTCAGCTTTCACTGGAGGAGGAGCTTTTACACTCACTCCTCGTTCCATAAGAGGATCGTACTTAATGGGGTCACTTCATTTGGGCGTCAGGCTACAGCATTATACTCCTTGTCCAGACCGTATTCTACCCAAAATCCAGAAGACACGAAAACGTGCGCGACCACTCACGGGGTTGTGCTGAACCTTACCATCCATTCTAAGTTTACGATAGATAGCAATGTTCCAACTGCTACGTTGCGCTCGTAATCTAGGGACTCGGATAACATCTGCAAAAAATTGCAGAATCCGTTTTCGAAATTCATATTTTAGGAAATAACGCTCAAATAGGCTAGTCAGATGGGGCGAATCAACCGGGTTAGGAAGGGATCGCTTCTGCTGCCTATGGGAGTCAAAGCCACTCCTACATCCGCAACCGCACTTCCATCATTGTTCCTCTATCATCTTATCTGTGAATTTGGAAAAGCTGTATTTTGTGATCTCAATTGCTTGAATCTTGCACCTGCTGTTTAGGTCGAGCTAACCGAAAAACTATATCTCCTTTATTTTTCGCTCAGTGAGGTTATGGTCAATCAACTTGGAGCTGACGAGCTTTCTGCTCGGGTCGGTTAATGGATTTTTGATGATTGCTGTAACCCCGTAGACACGAGGGTGTTACTGCTCGTGGGAGAGGGAACAAACAGTATAAAGGGGCTTTGCTGGACGATGATTTGGGATGGTCAGAAAGTCAAAAAACTGTTCGTGATCCAGATCAGAGCCTGCCGCAGTGCGCTAGACTCGTAACTGCTTGGCATGCCTGGCATAGTGGCTTGCATTGGGCTATGCAAATGGATAGGCATTCCTGTTCCTAATTCTGAGCTAGGGCCTGGCTGACGTCTAACTGGTTCAAAGCGCCTTTCATCTTACGGTGAGCATATCTGAGGCTTCTTCTTTCAGGATTTATGAGAAACTCATTTGTTTCACCGTTTGCTTCAACAGTTTTGACGCATTCGAAACGGATGTCGATGGCCTCCATCCAGAAGGTTGGGCTAGAGCTCTAGGAAATGCTTTATTGTGTCAGATGATCAGTTTTCTTTCTTCCAACGCCACCTGCATTGCTCTATTATGATATTCTTTCTCTCATAGCAGGCGGCTTCAACGGCACAGTTTGCGTGGCCGTTCCGCTGGCAAGCGCTCCAAATGGTCACCAAGGGCGAAGAAAGTGCAGTGAGGCGCATGCGTGTGTGCGTGTGTGTTTGTAAGGTGAACAGTGGCGGAAGAAATTGCAGAAATCGACGTTCAAGGTTGGCAGCGTCATTATGGAGAGCGAGAACTTGGAGAAGAGTTAGGGCGAGCAGTTTCCTCGAGACCTTGGGAGATAATGGGTCACTCTCGGACCTCTCTACACTCGGCTGTCAGGTCAATAGGTACCTAGGAAGGTGATTAAAGAAGTCCAAATCGATTTAAAGTATTCTTACGTGTCCGACAGCGAAGCCTGAAGCCACTGATATCATGAACAAGACAAATGAATTCACCATGGGAAGGAACAAAATGCAAACGAGGAGTGACCTGATTTCCCCGCTCCTGGTTTTGGAAGGTCTTTCCAGAGAAGGAAACCGATGAAGTAAAACTACTATTGGAAGCAGTGTTCACGTGGCCTTTGGAAACGTCCTCGCAAGAAAGATACCAACCCTAGTGTAGTGTACAGTTTGAGATGCGTGGAATGGCTCAGGATGGGGTTCAAATGTCACTGTTATATCCTCCAACCGTGGACGAAGACGTACATTTTGAGTAGAAGGAAACATTATTGGAAAGTCTGGAGAGAGTGGAACCGATGACTTTTTCGGCACATCGGTAGCAATTTATCGAAGTAACTTCCGGTATTGTCGTTATCTCTTCGACTGCAGTTCTAATCGGTTCGCTCCGGAACGCACATTTTATTTCTTCTCGGGACCTCCGGTATCGTAATTTGAATACTATGGCTCGATGGGACATTGGTAGGCGTTGTCAGACTCAGATTCAACGATCTGGGTCTTGACCATCCTTTTAGTGGTCTCAAATCAACTTTTAAGTCTATTATTTAGACGGTGAACGAGGTCTGCGTCCAGCACCAGCCGCTCAGGTAGCGCTGGGTCAGATCCTATTGAGGGTTGGTTATCAGGAACCTGCGCAGCAAGTATCCAGAAGAATATCTCGAGCGATGGGGGATGGGTTACGCTCTGCTCACCATGGAGGTCTTTCAGGTCGTGCTCTACTTTTCAAAACGGTTCCTTGGTGTAGAGGCACACACATGGAGCCAGAACTGTGGTTCATTTTTGCTGAGCGCCGTCTTCAAAACTCAAGTAACACACCTTTTGCGCACCAGCTAGACGAATTTAGCTGCAGCAGGTTACTGATGGTCCGGATGTTATATGCATTCATTACTAGCACATGTTTGCCGCACGACGCAGTAATCGGAGATGCAAAATCTTGGCTTGCACGGATTTCGAACAATGGCAGTCTTCACTTTTTTGGCGTCGGTCAGAAATGACGTGAATCTGTTTTCTGATCTGTCCCTACACAGGCAAAAGGGTTTTAAATAGGCTGAATGTCTCAAAATGTCATCCTGGCTTAGGTGTGTACGGCATCGGGTAACAATTTCTCGTTTTTTTGGATTGATATATTCAAGTAACTTCAGGGGACTGACAGTATTACTGTATATTTTGCGAGAAATAGCTTTGCGTTCTGTCATTTTTGATGATGCGTGTGAAGCAGGTATTCCGACCACTCTGACAGACGCTAGTGCGTCGACTACGACAGAGCGGTCTAGACAAAAACCTTTTTCTACGGCGACTAGAAGAATCCTTGCTGATTTGATATGTGCCGAATATTCGGATGGATTCTCAATTCGTCTTCCTCAACTGTTCGATAACTGAAGAGAACGCGATCCCGTGAAAACATTGAATCTTTCAGAGACACTCACTAGGCATGCTGTTGCGGTTAGTGACGACGAGCGTTTGGCTGCTGACGGTGGCCGTGACGACGGCGAGCTCAGCAGCAACTGATGTCAACTTCGAGAACGCACTCACAGGTACGAATCGTTTGCGTCTTACTAGAACTTAGACCTTGTTGACTAAAGTTGACCTTGCGCGTTTGGCTGTTTTAGTTCAATACCAATTTCTCATAACCATCTACATCCCGTGGGTCTGCAAAGGCCATTGCGCTACCTTTTGTGCCTAGCGACTTCCCGTCAAAGAAACCTAAACACAATCACAGACCTGTCCTGTGAAAGGCCGTCAAAACGTCCTCTTAGCCACGTTTTTGTCCATGCGCGTGCTGGCCGGCGACGGAATTGGAGCGATACGCGCACTTGGCGTAATTGCGACTCTAACATATCTGCATCTTGCGTTCGATACTCGGACGGGTGAGTAAGGCTTGCTGGGGCGCGACTTTTGAGTAAAAAACCATCTGAGACCACTACGGAAGGATTAGTAGCGCCACAGCGGCAGCCTACAATAATGGATAAGAGACGGTCTGCTTTTCCTTGGTATCATTGGAATACCAAGAAAATTTGGTGCTAAGTGAGCTGGAGGCGGACCACGCGGCGGCGCGACGTCTGTCAAGCACGATGGTACTGAGCCTGAGCCTAGAAGAAGGCTCAATGTGCCAAAAGTGGGATTCTGCGAAGCAACAAATCACAATGTTCACAGCCTACCCACTTCTTCCTAAGCTCCTGCTTATTGCTATTGCACTTGAAAGACCGCGTCGCCGCGTGGTCCCCCCAATTCACTTGGCACCAAGCAGATCGGGGGGGGAGCATTGCTGTTTAGAAGGGGTCAACGCATATATAACCCGGAAATCATATTCTTCTACTGCAAACGTTCAGAACTGAGCCTTAGAAGGGGGACTCCAAGCAGGGCCAACGGTCCGCTCGCCCTATTCGAACGAGAGGACCGCATTTTTGATTTCGGGTCGCATTTTGGGGTTGAGCAAGGCTATTATAGTGGGCGAGGGTGTCAAAGGGGGTTGCGTTTGAACGCTATTGACGGATTTTGGTAAAAGTTTCACGAAAGTAGTGAGATCTAGGCAAAATTGGTGGATTCGTCTACCCTTCCCACCTGCCACGCGCTTGACGCTGTTTTTGACAAAGTGGGGCAGAGCTAGGCTGTGTCGACTGGTCTCTGGTGAGGGTGGTAGTCGGTGAAGGGGAAGAGGGTTGTTTGGAGGAGCCTCCTAACAATAAGACTGATGGTTGTGGTGGAAGTCGCAAATTCTTTGAAAAAGTGCGAGCGTGACAGTTAACCCTGACCGAAGTCGCCGAGCCATTCTTTTGTCTCCTTAGGAGGACTTCACATCCCTATTTGGCTGTTAGTCTAGCAGCTCTACTAGATTACAAAATAATTTTCATGGACTTTTTAAGTCGTCCGTTGAAAGAACGTGGCCATATTTTACAAGATAACCAGAGCCAGTGGAGAGGATTAACATTTGAGTCGAACAAATTATGACACGCTATTCGTAATTTCAGAGGTGGTTCCTTGATGTGGGTTTCGCTTTTGATGTGGCCACTTTTTGTTTGGTTGATGGCTGCGATTTTGCTGGAAATGTGTCGTCCGTTTGTTCGGTACTTAGATGCCTTGATTGGCGGTCGTGGTTTGGTGTTAGGAGTGTGGTGACTTCCTCAAAATGTGTGAGGTTCTTTGGCTGGTTGGACAGTTGGCGTGTCGGGAGCGAGGTTTGGTAAGAACAATTGGCGTGGTATTGGGGGTTTGGTGATTCAGTCGGTTGTTGAGTGTCGTGAGATTTGTGTTTATTTTTCTGGTCCTCTGGGGTTTTGTCTTGTAGTAGTGGTTGAATTTTTGGTTTCTTTGTTGTTTTGCGGATTGTTGTCCGTTGGGTGAGTGCGGTCATCACATTGAAGAAGTGTTTGATGTCGAGTTCGCATGGCGCGGGTTTTTCTTGGAGGGTTGGTTGGTTTGTTGTTATGTGGGCCCTTTGCATCACGGGTACGTAGCGTCTTAATGCTTGGGGTTGAGTGAGTTCGGCCTGCTTTAAACGTAGTGGTGATGGAGGGTGCGAGGGGGGTGGCCTCTTGCCAATTACATTAGCACAGTTCATGCGCCGTTCGCGGTATTATAAAAAAGGGGGCCACACACTTGGCCTTTCTTCAGAAACTACAAGGTCCATTAACAGACTGTTTACCTAGCATAGCTCTAAAGATTTTTGTTTCAGTTGAATGGTTGGTCCTCTGAGAAGGTGTTTCTCAGTTGACCTTGGAACAATACACAATCAAGAAGTCATCTCGGAGAAAGGGGGAGAATCACTTCCTCCGATTGATAGTTTCATGTTTCTCGGTCAGTTTTCGGGTGAGTTGGGCCTCCTTTTAGGTGGATTTTTTTGTAGCATCCACTGAACATTTTTATAGAGAGGACCGAATCTCAAAAAGCAGAGTGGGATAATCTAGATTGGGAGAAGGAAGCCAAACATCTGCGAAAAAACTTTTGTAAAGCTCGGGCCTGTCATGCAGCTCTTTTCCTCGATTTACTTTGTCCTTTCTAATGTCAGTCTCGCTTTCTAAGGAAACTTGTCGCGGGGCGGAGCATGTACTTTCGTTTTTTTGCCATCTCATGTCTGATACCGTGATTAGATCTACCGCTGTGGTGTATGTGCTGGTAAAAATGGCCCATAGAGCTTAGTGCCAGTGGTTTCGAAGCAGGTACGCTGGTGATAGGACGTCCTACTATATTTTTCTTGAGGGTTCAATTAGCCCAGTTATTTATACTTGTTTCCACAGACTGTGAGGGGGTGAAGAAGGGCGGCTGCGGAGTTACGATTAATAGTGTGGAATTTAATTTCGGGCGGGTGAATATAGAAACTTTTTTAATGCTAGCTTTTATTTTTCCTTTTTATTTATTTCATATTTTTCGCAGAAAACCATCAGAGAATGCGTCACCGGTCTCTGCAGTCAGTATCCCGAGTATGCTGAGAGCAACCGCCATGGGGCATTGTTCTTTGCTAGGGGCATGTTACAATAAGGACGCGGAGGCGTTCTGTCGTTTCACAACGCTTCGACGCACGTCGTTTTTGGGACTTATTTCGAAAGCGGTGCGACGTAAAACAGGATTAAATGATTGGAGGTAGGCGGTGTTGCTGTGTGTGTTTATTGGTCACTATTGCAACTGCCCAAATAACGCTGATGGGGGATAATGAAAGCGTCGGTAGAGGGCTGCGCACTGGTCTAGAAGTATCTATATTCTGAATTAATCTGGTTGCATATTGCACAAGGTTCAGGAAGATTTCGAGTTCTCTAGATTTTTGGCCTTAGTTTGGATTTTTGGATCAGTTTTCTTTGGTGTCAAACTTTGTTGATTGTACACTTCGATTAAAAAGCACGTTTCTTACCCTTCCAGTTTCTGATGGCTTTGGTTCTTGTCGGGTTTTCGGTACTGACAAGTGTATGGGTATTTGCTGACACACTTTTCGTAGTTTCGAAGCTAATCATTACTTGTAAAGCGTAACGTCACTTATGCGTACGTTCTACTTCCAGACTCAAATTTAGTGCTTATTGACTTCGTGAAAATCTGCGTTATGGGTAAATGTATTAGTTATTATTGTATAGGTTCCTCAACTAGTGAAGTGTCATCTTGACTTCGAAGGTCCCATTTTCTGAATCGACGCTATTCTCGACACCGTCGTGGCGGGGTTAGCCGACGAGCTCACATCACCTGTATCAGCAGCAGCAGTACGCTCGTTCCTTGTCGAGTTACTCAAGTGCGTGCCAGTAACGACCATGTTCGCGCCTGCTTTGGATCAACCCGATGGGTTCTTTCTAGACTTTAATGGCAAAATGTACCATTCTTTGAGCGTTAGCATGAAGTATCGCCATCGGGTCGGCAGCTGTCTAGGTGTTTTTCAAATAGTCTGTGCGACGAGACGGTAATTGCTCTAGCCCACCATCTCAAAGTCATACGACGTGTCTGACATCCGATCTCTGACACCCTTTTTATGAGTGCTGTTCTGATGATTCGAGTTAGCGAACCGCATCCCGGTTCTTCCTCACCTGCAGCTATCGGGAAACCTCCAAGTATCGCTCTTTCGATGGCACATTTAATGTCGCTTAACCAACTGGCCATTCTGCAGGCGCATAGTCCATGTCTTTGACTGACACTATCAGATGATAAGGGTTGTAGAACCGAAGAAATTGGAGCAAAGCTGAATGCTTTTCGACTCCATCACTGGCCCCATGACCTCTTTTATATACACATCTCTATAGCGCCCGCTTTTTCCTGGGGCTGAAACAGTCATCAAATCTTGGCTCGATCTTCACATATACGAGCTAAATATTAAGCGTATGGATCGTGAATTGGGCTTCGGAAACCATAAATTGTCAACAACACCGTCAAGTTCAGTGGAACCGACCTTCTTCCAGCTAGCGCGATCGAAGCAAACCAGCCTTCCCTCTGCTTGGTGTTCATTTGCGTGAGTGGGAGTTGAGGGGCGAGACAACTCGGTTGCCAACCGTCTGCCTTCAATTCCATTTCAGTTGAAGCTCAGCGTTTTCGAAAGCGAAGGATAAAGGTTGAGCGAGATCGTGTTGCACGGTACGGAATAAACTTCTGTATTCTTCTAAATACCGTGCATGCAAGAGTTGAAAAGTAGGCGGCGGAGCTCTCTCGGCAGAAATTCCTGGGACTCTTTTGGAGCATCGGTTTCTTCGATAATCCTCCACTGGCGCATCTGAACGAACTCGATTTCGACGGGAATCTCAGTTTGCCAAGACGATTAGAAGTTTTTTGAGTGCAGCGGGCAGCTACTTGTAGCCATGAAATACGGTTTATTATATGTTTCGCAACGCTATCGGGATGAAGTAGCCACTACTGGCGACAAAAATGTTTCTTCCCCGTCTGGTTCTTGTTGTGTAATGTAACAAAGAGCGAGATCTGCCGACATTTCCAATACAGTATCACTGACTGAGGGATGTAAACCAGGTATAAACCAGCCGGCTCGAAATCGGGCGTAGAAAGACTTACGTATTTTCTCATATTTGCGTATACCGTGGGCAAAAAACAAGGCCATAGGCGACACCCCCCACGGTGGACCGCTGGACCCTCTTCGTAAAGTTATACGGGCCTACTGTTGGAGCAAGAAAGAGCCAGCAAGCAGACGATTGCGCGACTGCGTTTTGGGGATACTGGTCGAGAAGTGAAGGTTAAAGTAAATTTCACAACGGCTTGCTACGATGCTCTATGGGAAATGCGAGCAGCTAAGGGCAGTTTCGATAAGATAGCGTGAAAATTAGCATGGGTGAAGAAATTCTCATAACTCCGTTTCGAGAACCGATTAACGAGTATGAAAAACCATTCCTAGTTTCGAGGCGATTACAACAATTGCAACGCCTCGTTTCAATCGGCCATGATGACTTTCCCTTGTGAGAGAATGGCCTTGTCGTATTATTGCGCTGCTTCTTCGCTAATGTGATTGCAAGTATCCAGTGAACAGCTTGTATGTTTGATTGACAGCGATGTGAAATGGGCACGGAGCTCTGTGGTGATGGCCCTCAAGAAGGCCGGGTGTCGTGAATTCGTGCCACGGTTTCTAGGCAGCCAGAGCGAAAAGTCGTAGCGCTTCATCTAAGTCAGAATGCCTGCTTGCTAAATCTAGACCCGGTACGGGATTTGAAGGGGCACAGCTTTGGCACTGAAAGTAATCAATCACTATTCAGAAATAGACGGTTCCTCAAAGGGAAATCTTTATATTGTATATTTATTTAGATTTTTAATGGGCTTAGACGGCGTATTGGGCATCTTTTCGTCAGAATGAGTGGTCACAGAACCCTTCAGATGTCGGCCGATTGAGGCTCAGCGATTACGATAATTTTAAGGAGGGCAGGAGATTGATCAGGTGGTGCTTCCAGTGGGCTACGCCAGCTGAGTAAAAAAAGCAGAGAAATCCCGTCAAAAAAAAAAAAACGCAAAACGGGGCCTTCTTTTAATCGCTGTCTTTAAAAAACTTCAAAGGTCCTACTACACCAGTCTACATAATACCACAGTATAAAGTAGAGGTGTTGATCCAGAAATGAAAGCCGCGATCCTGCAAACTCTGCATTGAGTGGATTTGCACTTAAATACTTCTACGACACTAACAACGGGAGCTGACTCTTGACAGATCATTACAATCATTAACCACAATTCATATTGCCACTCATGGAGATTTTTTTACAACTATGGAAGGTATAACTGTGACCGGCGAGGCTCTTTTCGGACTTTCTCAGAGGGTTTTCTGCAAAAAAGGAGAGAATGAGCTTCTTTTATGAGTTGCACATTCAACATTTCAGCAGTCACCGGCGATAATTTCGAGCAATTTTTCAGGTGAATCCACGCGGTATGGCGTTTTCCATGACGATCGTGGTCCAGCTACATCCACTGTTCATCACCAAAGTCGATCGAGCGTTCCATGTGCGCTGTTTCTACATGGAAGCCGAGAAAGCTGTCGGAGCTCAGATTGGAGTCAAGTAGGTGCTACATATTTTAGAATCTTCTCCATCGTTAATTCTCCATTACGTGTTCTTCCCACGATACAATTTTATCTTGAAAACGCCTCATAGCGCGATTTCTAGCGTGGGCGGCATGATGTTGCATGCGCGCTATTCAAGTGCTTTGAGAGCGGCTATTGTGAAGAGTTCTACCTTGACCTTCTCGGGCTATTGGAACGTATGAAAGAACGATTGGACGTTCTGGGACCGGTGCGAGTCAAGAGGCCAGCCGGTCAGGCAATAATCACGACGAATTACCTCGTCGTTCCAAGGGGATTAGTGCCGTTTTGCGTCACTGATATTACGTTTTTGACCTTTCTCAATGATAGCATACTTTGCTATAATAGATTATGAGGATGATTCTCTCTATGCTAAATTAGGCACAGGTTTCTCCTTGGAATTCTAGACTAGTCGATATTCGCAGTTAGAGATATTTGGAATAAAAGGCTATTTGAAAATCGCGTCTAGACTCAAATTTTATCTTCATTATGATTACGGCATATAGGCATTGCTCACTTAACATTTCAGTAGGTCAAAGCGTAGTAAGGAGCGGATCAAAAAGGGCTTCAGTGCCATGCGAATGCACGAGAGTAGTTATGCCATTTTGAGGGGCTACTTTAGCCGGAATAGGGGATAAGAAAGATCATCCAGAAAAAACACACTAGATTTGCTCGTTCACTATTCAGTTATCGATCCTCGAGCTTATGTGCTTCACTCTACTTGTAAAAACGCAACTTGAGCTGTCAATTGTCGAACTGTCGGGTGCTGTCGGCGTATTCGATGCCATTTCACTGAAATTCAAGTGATAATGTGGAAGAAGACCAGCGTTATAAAGATTGAAGGCTATCCCCCAGAACAATTGATGTCCATGCGCGAATGTGATAGTACTGGTGGAATGGACGATCAGAAAAAGGAAAAGAATCGCCAAACCTTAGGTAGGAGCTCACTCAACTAACCGATCGCTATGCGAGGGAGAGAGTATGGGGAGAGAGCTACAGATGAGAGAGCGCCAGACAACAGCCTGATAAGAGAAAAAAGTCTGCAGCTTGGGCAGCTTACTTTGCAAGGCCCAAGCGCTCTTATCGGTTGGTTTCCGTGCACGAGGAACGCCACATTTGTGATTGTCCTCTAGGGGTCTATACTACAGACCGAAGAGAAGCGTTCACACGACCTCTGCCTGGGTTGTGCCTTTAAGGTCAAATTTAGTGCTGAGCTATCATTTCAACGTGGTGTCGCGATTGTCACCGAAACGGTACATACAGGGGGCAATAAAATAGACATTTTATCTCCATACTCAGATGGATTTAATCACATTTTGCTCAATTCAAACCGAATTCCAACTTATATTGAAAGCGCATTTCATTCTATAAGAAAATCTTCATAGTGGCCACCTACGTGGACGGCATCAGAAAAATTTGCCCCGGAAACATGGTGCACTGGTCGAGCTCAATGGGGTCTTCGAAGGATCGTGTACCATAACGACCTTTACTGAAAAGCGGGTTCCGAGGGGTTTGCATAGTGGAGCTAATGTCCTCTAGAAACTATCCAACATTGAATCGATTCACGAAATTATGTAAGAGCTTCAGGCTGAAGCAGTTACGGTAGGCCTCCTTGAGCTTGACGACGGTGACAGATGACGTCGTCATATTCTGAAGACGGTGAGGGCAGTGAAGGAGGGCCTGCGTTACTTATAGAGGGACATTTAGGGAATACTTTTGCTGAGGAACTTCCGTCAACGACGGCAATCTCTGCGAAGAAAAAAGGGCCGAAGTGCGACATGGGCAAAATGACTTCCCCCCTGTAGACACCGATGGGCCACATCCAGGGCCACTCCACGTACTACTGCATAGCAGCTGGAGGCCCAAAAATGTTGGGAGAAGAGTGGGGAAGGAAACCGCTCACTTGTGAGACTGTCGTCCATTTCTGAGCTGAGCTATACTTCCAACGTGGTTTCACGATTGTTATGCCACCCACTGTACTGGATACCTTGAGTGGGACGTTTTGCAAGGTGTCTTCTTTTGTGGAATAACTGTAGTCGTTATCGCGATGATTTCTATGCGTTCTAAATGTTTCTTAGTGAGCACTGCCTACACAAAACGGTGCAAAACTAGACGCTTGAGTTAGCCATACATACATTATGATAGAAATTAGACGCTTAATTCTTCGAAGTGGCGCAGAGATACATTCATAGAAATGATGCTGCTGCACTCACCAGATAGGACTCTGCTTCTTCCTTCCGTCTCGATCTCATGATGCATACGTAACCCTGTCTC